GCTCAGGGTCCCTGTCCAGAAACACAGATGAAAGTAACAGACCAAGCCCTCATGCAGCCTGCATTCTAGTGGGAGAGAGAAATAATCAGAAAGCAAGTAAGTACATAATATAAAATTAGACAATAGTCAGTGCTAGGAGGAAAAACCCAGGCACCGTGAGTGATGTGGATAGGAAAAGTATTACATTTGCTGCTTTATTCAGGGAAGTCCTCTGATGATGCGACATTTGCACAGGGAACTAGTGGGAGGGAAGAAGTAAGTCTTGCCAAGATCTGGGGAAGGAATTTTCTCAGAAGATTAGCTGTATGTGGTTTACCCTAAAAGATCAGGACTGTACCTTATCTAGAATGTTCTTTAATACTTTCTCATGAGTCTCTATTTTGTGGTTTTATTAGTCATTGTGGGGACATCTATTGTTAGCTTGTGTTATGTTGATAATAAACTCCTTCTGTTGCAGCGTGCAGATTTCTCTCTAGTTTTGTCTTTCTGGGAAAATGATTCACAAGGGGAGGTAGAAGGAGAAGTGGGCACTATGGGAAGGGAATGTGTACAGGTGAAGAATGCATGTGCTCACATCCCAAAGTTCTAATTCATTTCCAAGTCTGAATGAATTAATTGCAAAGCCAGGTATGGATTGATGATTTGTTTTGCAGAGGGGGCGGTGGGTTAAAAAGGCCAAGAAACAATGTTATAGCCCTGCCTCAGACAGATCGTTATTCTTTTAGTCTGATTTCATAAAGAGATCCTAAACCAATGAGTGCTCCCTTGGAAGGTTGTAGTGTCGTTGGAAATGTTAGTATTTTATTGCAATTGTGTAAATTCTTTAAGAGAAAGTTTCTCCATAGCAGCCAACACAGTCTGGCTCAGTTGCTGAATTACCTGGAGAAAAATCGATATGGTTTCATGGTACTCAAGAGGGAACCCACATCTTCAGAAAAAGAGAATCACAGTGGCCTGCCTTACTTGGGAGTTTATTCTAGAAGGCTGTTGCTGGAATCTGCTAAAAGCTTGAGGAAAATAGTCCAGCTCTCACATAACTGGAAGATGAATCCAGAAAAAGGGAGTATTTTATGTGTAATCCATGCATACAAAACACTCAAGGTCTGAAGGACCTGTGAAGAAGTCTACGATACGAGATCTTTTTATCTTTAACCTAAGTATTGCTTGGTTATTCGGGACTTGTGATGATGTCAGGATTTCAAAGAGTCACGCTGATGTCAAAGTTGAGGAACTTTTCATACTTCTGTTATCAGAAAGTTAAAATTGTATGTCTATTAGCCACTGTACTTCTGTCCATTGCACATAATCACTAAAATTAAAAATGAACACCTCATGAAAATAGTTGAACGTAGTACGTTTGAAATTTAAGGCAGTCACTTACTCAAACGGATTACTGTCCCTGGTTACAGCCTATGGGAATTCACAGGTGCTAAATTAGCTTCAGAAGGACCCCCCTATTGTTTCTTAATGGAAAACTAGAACATATGGAGGCTTGCACATGGAGAATAAACATGCATCAAATGTAAGAGATGCTGAGCACAGTCTAAGCGTGTGTCTCCAGTTTTCCAAGCATGCGCAGCTCTGTGCCAGTTGAACTGTCTGATGTGGTTTGCCATTTCATTTCAAAGTAATAATGCAACGGCTTCAACATTTTAGCTTTAACCTTCTCCGTAACTAGAGGAACTATTCAAATGCTTTTGATGTGATAGGAGAGTGATTCTGTCTTTTGAGAATGACAATAAGTGCCTTTGTGATTTCACAGTATAAACTATTTGAAAGCGAGAAATGTGGAGGTGAGTAGCCTGTGATGATATTGAATCGCTTGGGTATGTTTCTGAACAGTTAGGAACAGAGAGGAAATACAAAGCCAGACTAGAAAGAGTTCTTTTTACCCCCAGAGATTTTTAGAGTTTCTTGGTGCATATGGATCTTAGAAAAAAATTATTTGGATTTGTTTTATTCTTTTGACCTTGACAGTATAGAATGAAGGACAGTTTTATAGCCCTTATATAGCAGAGTTGGGGCTTTAAATGTTCATGTCCACACATTGCTTACAGATACCAAATTCTATGGGTTATTTGTAGACCAGTGGCTCAATAAAATTCTTGGTAAGCATTTCCATTCTACTGTAATTTTGTAAAGCCAAAATATCTGACCTGAAATCACAAAACAAATTCATTTTGTCAATAGAGCTGTGGGAAGCAAAATAGGCTCATTTCAGTCCCATTGTTTTAAAGACTTCTTTCAGCCTCTGCCTATATTCTTACACTTGAAGGAGAGCTACAAACCCATTGCCTTCTCAGTATTAAAAAGTGACAGTCATTCAAGAATACCATCCTTCATGAGCTACACATCCAAGAACACAATGAGTGAATGAATGAATGAATGAATGCATGCATGAACCAACTCATCTGTGTAACGGTTTTGGGGGGGAGGGTTGTGACAGTAATGATCATGAGTTACCATTGATGACCTTGTCTCCTGATGACCCCTAGATTTAAAAATCCCTTTCCTGGGGGCGCTTGGGTGGCTCTGTCAGTTAAGCCTCTGACTTTGGCTCAGGTTATGATCTCATGGTTTGTGAGTTTGAGCCCCTTGTCGGGCTCTGTGCTGACAGCTCAGAGCCTGGAGCCTGCTTCAGATTCTGTGTCTCCCTCTCTCTCTGCCCCTCCCCCCTCACGCTCTACCCCCCCCCCCAAATAAATAAACATTAAAAAAAATCCCTCTCCTTAAAAAGTTAAAGCCCTTTGGGATCACTCATTTATTTTATATGAATTGTTTCTTCTGCTGATTGGTACCCTTCTTTTGTTGTTATTGTCATCAATCACTCTGACCTGTCATTACCTTACATCTGATTGTTTTTATGGAGAGATACTCCTCTTGGTCCGCCTTAGGAGAAACAACTCAATCACAACTGCTGCCCTCAAACAGACAGGAAACATTTGTATGTGATGGGGTAGGCCACCACCTCTGCTTCTCATTTGTAACAGCCTGAGGTTTTTCCAGGAAAAAGAGCGTCCGTAGCAAGTAAGCCATGGGTTGAATTCAAATTTAAGACTTCCATCTTTCTAAAGTTTGTTCAGTTTATTAAGTGTCTTGCCTCCTGCTGTATAAGATATAGATGAAGAGATCATGGTTTTCCTGGGGGTTTGAAACTCAGGTTAAACAGACATCAGAAGGGAATTCTCAAATGAATTTTCAGTAAGTGCATTGACAGTCTCAGAAATTCCAACTCTAGCAAATACAGCGTTCTTTTCAATTAATGTCAAAACATCAACTACCTTGCAGGTCTGTTAAACTAATATGGTATCTAAATGTTCTGTGTTTTGCCCTGTTGGAGGCAAGGTTTAATTGTAGCCAGCCTCTTTGAATAGCCATTGGATAATTTCAGAAACATTTTTTACCTTTCTACTTGCCCTAAGGTTATTCTGATACGAAACCTTCTCTCCTTGGTTCGCAATATGCTGTGACTGCATCCAAAGTTGACTCAGTAAGTGGTTTATAAAATCTTTCCTGAGGAAAATGTAGGTTTTCATTCATGTAGTTAGGAGTCTGGTGGCAAAATCTACATATGTATGCTTTGTAGGAAAAACAGCTGGAAATTGTTTCTTTCTGATTGTGTCTGATGTGCTTGTTAGGATAGGAGAGCTTACATAATTTGTAGAGCATATAGTCCTATCAGTGGTAACCCGTGGATGGGGAGACGACTCTAGGAAGTAGTTGCTCATTGTGTGTTTTCAGTAATTGCATGCTATCAGCTTTATGGGCTTGCAGAGTTTCAGAGTGCCTGGTACATAGAGGATGAATAATAGTGGCATTGAATTGATGAAAACATGGAAGAATGAATGAATGAATGGGTGAAACTTCATAGTCCTGTAGCTCACAGGATTTGTAAACTGCCTACTCTTTCCAAATGAAGGTTTTGGGATGATGGGATGTCTGAGGATATCTTAGACGGAAACATAAGAAATAATACCATTTAGCTACATGTGCAGATATGGTAGTAATCCCCAAAGAGGGATTGTTTTAAAGCATCATAAATACAATTAAATAGAAATGTACCCTTATACAGTACAGTCAAGAATCATTTTACATTTCTGTTTTGTACAGGTTAATTTGAATTTGGGTCAGTCAGTGAAGTTGAAAGTTATATTGCTGCGTTTGAGAGAAGGCGAGAATGTCTCTCTGAAGGATGGCCCCAGCTGATACCTTTTGGATCATCTGTCACATTCCCCTTGGGGCCGTGCTTCTGTTGGCTGCTCCCAGTCTGTGAGGCAGTGTGGCGGGAATACTAAGAGTCTCATTCTGAAGAGGCAGGGCTCATCCTGAGGGTGACTTTCACTTGAGGACTTGACTGAACATTTCTTGAATTGTCCTGCAGTCCAAAACTCCTTCTTTTTTTTTTTTTTTTTTTTTTTTATATTGTCAAGTTAGCTCACATACAGTGTAGTCTTGGCTTCAGGAGTAGATTCCCATGATTCATCACTTACATACAACAACATCCAGTACTCATCCCAACAAGTGCCCTCCTCAATGTCCATCACCCACTTTTCTCACCCCCGAAACCCAACACTCCTTTTATTCTGTGCTTCCTCATTCCCTCTCTCTTTATGCAAGTGTGAGACTCGCACTGTGATCTGAATTATTTCCTTGCTTTCTCCTCTCTCCTCCTTCAGTGTGTTTCTTGTGTATCTCATCTCATCTTGGAGGCTGATTCTTGGCAAAGTAAAACCAGTGGTACCAAGAATGGTCCAAAAACTTGGCAAGAAGATAGAGATTTTGGACTGATTCACCAGACGGTGGTGAAGAACACAATATGCTGAGCGGTGTGTGGGGCCTGGGTTATCCCTGGAACTAGGAAGTAGTCGCGTTGCAGTGCTCCATGACTCATGAACTGAGAGACATGGGGAGGGTGGGGGGAGTGACCATGCGGAATCAGTTGGTTGAGGCCAACCTGGACGGATATATCCTGATGAGGGATAATGAAGAATCAAAGGCTGTTAACTAGCAGTAAAGACTTGTTACTTTGTGAGGGCCAGGGAGCACTCTGCGGTGGCTTACAAGGAAGCCATGTCTTCTGTAGCGGAAAATCAGATGACTCAATACTTTTATGGTTAGAGTCCTGAGCTTCAGAGATGTTTGAATGCTCAGCCATTATAGGTGTGTAATACTAGGGTCATGTACAGGATTGGGAAAATGGGAGGCCTTGAAATATGGGTGGGGTTATCTGGCTGAATGTCTCTGAAGATTTTGGTACTGTAGATAGGGCCCGTCTGTCCCTGTCAAGATGTGCTTGAAGATGCTGCAGAAGGTTTTCCCCTGCAAGGAAACAGATACCTGTCAGGAGCTATCCCTGCCTCTTCTCCTAGGTGCCTGTACTGACCATGCTTCTAGCTTCTGTAAACTTGATGCTTGAGTATCTGTTCTATATGCATATGCTAGTTATGCCTTATAATGGACAACCTGTTAATACACCTGAGTCACCTTGCCTTGCCCTCCTGCCTCCCTCATCTCCCTCCCTACCTTTAGGAAAAATCCTTTTCTGATACAAACCAACTAATCCAGAGTCTACACTCACACTCAAGGCCATTGTCTATCTGCCCTAATCACTCCAGGCCCAGGTACAGGACAACTAGGGATAACCTCATGCCCCAGATACCACTGAAATTACTCAAACCAGACACTAAGCTTGCTTACCATGTTTAGCCTGTTCTTTCCTGTAGAAATCACAGTGAAAGCTCTGGCGTCCAGTTCCCCATCTCCCCCTCTGCCTCCTGACAAATCACAGGGCTTCCCTGTGTGGCCGTTCTGTGGCATGACATGCCCTCTCCTCTTGGGAACTGTGAGTATTAAACTATCTTCTCAATGGCCATCATTTCCTGATCTGTTGGCCTTCCTGTACCTCAGATTTCCTATTAATACACTATATTTTAAGTCAATGCTAGGCCAGTAGCAAAGGTAGATCCCAACATGACCTAGCTAGAGACATATCAGGCCTGAAAGGGAGGAAGGAGACTTTATCCTGAAGACGCTGTAAGGATTAGCTTAGTTGGTGTGAGTTGGCTGAAGCTGGGGTCGCGTGCCTAGGGTTGGATTTTGAAGTTGTTTGATCAAAGCGTTTGGAATGTAAAATTGGACGAGCAAGAATTCAGTAGCTTATGGGCACTTTCTCAGGCCTTGGAGTTTAACATTCTGGCAAGGAACCCAGGCAATGGGAGTTTTTGTTGCTGGAGTATCTCTGAGAATTCTGGAAAAAAGGGATGGTCTGTCCTCAGTGAAGGGTAAATGCTTGAGTTACTCTGGAAGGTGGGAGAGGAAGAAATAAAGAGGCCGAGGGGAAGTAGATAGCATTTATGGATATTTCAGGTAAGGCCGGAAGACCTCGAGAAGGCCCAGAGGACACAACATTCACCAAGGGTATTAATCACTCACTGGCACTTGGGGCACCAACATCACTAAGAAGCTTGGTGGAGGCCCTCCTCTGTTGGCAAGGGCTGGCAGGAGCAGTGGCCATAGTAATGGGTCAATATCACCCTTCAGGATGTTGGAGTAAACAGAAGCCCAGTGCTGAATCTGTTTGATGAGATTTACTTTGCAAACGGTGTGCTATTATGACCTGTGGACCAGATGGAGTATTTCTAGAACTCTTAGAGGCTGAAGAATCTCTGGCTTATAACCTGATAATGGTGCAAATTGATTACCACTCCCCGATGCCTCTTGTCTGGACACCCCAGACTTTGAATGTGTCCTTAATAGCCTCTTGACTAAAGATGGTTCAGATGTGAGACACATAGAAGAGGCTGAACTTGTAAATATCTCAATAAATCTAGCTATATTCTTGCTGAAAATGCCCAATAGCCACTGGGGGAAAAAAAGGAATCTATTGAAGGACTATAGCCCATTATATCCATGTGACTGCAGCAAGGGCTTATTATTCTCATACTAGCCCTTGTAATACTCCTGTCTGTCGCAAAGACACATCGGTGTGGATACCACTTTGCACAAGATTTAAGGGCTATGAGGGAGATTTTACTTCTCTACTTCTCTGTTATCTCTAACATTATCCTATTCTCAATCCCTGAGACTGCTGCATACTTTACAGCTATGGAACTATGCTCAGCATTCTTTAGTATATCCTTTCTCCTGGACTCCCTGTACCTCTTGGCATTCACTTGGGAAAATCAGCAATGCACATAGAACGTTGTGCCCAAGAGTTCATGGGAGCATCCTCTTACTTCCTGAAAATACAAAACTATACCTGAACCGTTAGAGACATCCAGTTTCCCGAGGACTCCACTTTTATACAATATATGATCTTCTGCTTGTTCTCAAGATCGAGAGTTTTGCAGAATTGATTTCTTCCACTTGCTGACATTATCAGTGTACAGGGACACAGAGTCTCTAAGGATAAACTCCCAATTTTACCAGAAGCCAAGTGCATTTTCTTGGCCATGGCATAAACTAAAAATTAAGAGTCTCTTTCCTCTTAGATGGGAACCTGTTCCTGACTTTCATGGCCAATTAACAAAAGATAGCTTAGAGGATTTCTTGGTCCCAAAGGATATTGGAGACATTGGATTCCTAACTTTTTTTGGACCAGCTGTTCTTTCCTATAAGCTAATGAAAACTGACACTCCTGAGCCCTTGTATTACACCGACTTCCTGAAGAATGGCTTTTACAACTTAAAGGATTCTCCAATAATCATAAATCTATTTGTACGTTGACACAAGTTATGTGAATTCTAACTTAACAAGAACATGGACATCAGAGACCCATTGGTGATTAAATCTTCACATTTGTTTCATTACAAAAACCTACCTTCCTTGTTTGCACACAGTGGCAGCAGTTCAAGGTCAACAGAGGGCCCTGCTGACGTAGTCTTAAGATCTCCACTTAACCCCATGATCCCTCACACCATTCAGACCGTCCTTTTGACTGAATGCACAGGACATCTTTCTGTTTCTAGAATGACTTCTTTTGAAATCCTTTAGCTTTTACCTGCACACATTTCTATCCATTGCTGAAACATCCTAAAACCTGTCCTTCTCCTCCCAGAGGAGAGAGAATCTCATGACTGCTGTGAACTTATTTGGGAGCTTTTTTCTTGGCTTCCTCTGGTCTTCTTGAAACCCCTTTAGACATCCTAGATTGTGAATTATGTATGGATGAATCCTGTTTGAGAACCGAACAAGAAAGCTATCAAGCTGGATATAAAATCAGAACCCACTAAGGCTTGTTCAAATCCAACCCTCCCTGAGACATGAAATATGCACACGTTGCCACAAGTGTAGCCCTTACTAAGGCCTGCCAGTTAGCTGAGGTAAACGAGCAAATGTCTATACAGAAATGGTTTTGGAGTGGTTCAAGATTTGGGTCTGCTTTGGAAGAAACACCACTTCTTAATTGCAGCTGATGTACTCCCATTAAACAAGGCAACCACATAAAAGCAGTTTTGAGAAACAAAGGTTCATCTTTTAGCAGATGAATATGCTAAACAAGCTATGTTAACACATCCAGGACACCCAACAAGTCCAGAATTCAAAGCCAAAATGAATGTCTGACTATTGGCATCGAGTCTTGAGTTGATTCCAGAATCAAGTACCTGATTCTGAAATAACACATTGGAAAAGATCAGATTGCTTGCTTCACCCAGATGGCATCTGGTGGCACCGAGATGGTGATTTGGTTTGCGTTGAGAGGCTGAAATAGAGCGTCTGAAAGAACCAAGCCCTACCGTCCATGGAAAGGAAAGTACAAAAAATGTCCTAAATAAGTATTCACAGGGAAACCTTAGGGAGATGTCAGAGCACATCTTTGCTGCACCTTCTAGCTGTGAAGTCCCAAACCCTTTGAAAACTGTAAAGGTGGGGCAAGGACACGAGCGCAGACTTTTTTAGGTCATTTAGAACATGTGCAAATGGATTTCATTCAGTTGCTCCCTGTGTTTATGAATATGTTCTTAATCCCAGGATATTGTCTATTTTCTGCTAGGCTGGAATCATTTCCTTTCTGTAAAGTAACTGTCAAGACAGTAGACTCTGGGATTCCCACTTGAGTAATACCTATTCATCTACTTTTAGGGGTACTTTGCAGTCAGAACAGAAATTAAGGGACTTTGTAAGGCTTTGTCTGTCACCCAGAAGCTTCATGGGTCCTCCCACCCCCCATCCTCAGAGAAATCAGCAACGATTGACACATTAAAATGGAAGCTTGCAATACTCTGTGGGCAACTTCAGTTGCTGTGGTCAAAGGTTTTCCTCTTAGCTCCCCTGGCTATTAAGCCCATTGTAACAGGAATTTATAGACTATCTCCCTGTGAGCTGGCCACCGGACGCCCATTCATATGGAGATATCTGTCCTGTCTTTGACGCCCACTAGTCACAGGCTGATACATTTAAAGTTGTAGAACTTTAAGGCCAAGCTTATTTTCATTAAGCCCATTTGATTTTACCCAGAGATAAATCATAGGAAGCAAGATGTTCAGCCCAGAGACCTGCTCTACTGAAGAGGAAACCAATGTAAAAATGCTCTTAAACCTTATTGGAGGGGCCCTGCACCACAAGCACTGCAGTGAAACTCCTGGGAACTGCTCCTTGGATTCATGTCTCTTAGTTAAAAAGGCAAATACACCCACCTCCTAGACATGAACGGCCATGTAAGATCAAGCACTGAGAATCTCTTAGGCTCTCCAGAAGCAAATGACATCCTAAAGTAGACATCTTTCTCCAGAACTTCAGATCCAAACCCATTAATGCTGGAAGCAATTGATTGCCAGCCCCTTCTTTATCTCTTTCCTTTTTTTTCCTATTATCTTCCTTCTCTGTTGGTTTAAGGATTTTGATTGTAAAAATGACATTCTTTAAGTTTCTTCCCCTATTCAAATCATTTTGGGTAAATTAGTATTACATACAAACTTATTAATATTAAGCCTCCCTTTCTGCAGACCTGGGTGGGGATGACATTGTTCTGGCCGATCCCAGATCAGACAGAATCTTGGTTAAGAAGCATTGTCTAAAGCCTGGGACACCTGAGTGATACAGTGCATTAAGCGTCTGGCTCTTGATTTTTGGCTCAGGTCATGATCTCACAGCTGGTGAGTTCGAGCCCCGCATCAGGCTCTGTGCTGACAGCTCAGGCCTGGAGCCTGCTTCAGATTCTGTATATCCCTCTCTCTCTCTCTCTGCCCCTTCCCACTCACACTGTGTCTCTCCTTCTCTTAGAAATAAACATTAATTTTTTTTAAAGTAAATAAATAAACATTAAAAAAGAAGAGGCATTGTGCAAGTCTCACTAGATTCACTTACAAGAATTACTAAATTCTCACGTTAATGTTTGCCTCCATAATCATGGATCTGTTTTTTTCCCAGAGGTTGTAATGCTTTTATGTAGCCACCCACTCAACAAATGATTGAAATTCAACTACAAGTTATAAGAAGCTCTGTTGGCAGTCATTGGCAAAGAGGCTAAGGCTGCTGTTGACCAGTGGTATAGATCAAGCATCCTGAAAACAAAACAAAAGCAAGATGTGGTCAAATGATGAGACTCAAAATCGCTGCGGACCAACAAGAGAGACAGAGAAAGCAAGAGTGCCCGAAATGTTCCCCACTGAGCCTTGCGACACTTGAGTCCCCGTGACCACTCCTCCTCAGTTTTCTTGGAAAGCCCTAATGACTTTAGTGCCCACATGTGTCGATGGACCTAAACTGCTCAAAGACTCTCAGACCACAAGAAGAATTCTTTCTTTCTCTGGATCCCATCTTTGATAAACTAACTCCTGAAATACGCGGAAACAAATCTCGAAAGTTTTGTATCTCTTGGTTTCTTCCTCAAAGTAACACATACACACACACACACACACACACACACACACACACACACACACACACACTCCTCCCTCCCTCAGGGTCTGCTTGAAAGGCTCTTACCTCCCTGCACTTACTTTGCCTAATTAATTCCTACTCAATCTGCAGATCTCAAGATCACAAAGGTCGTGTTTTTGGGAAAGCCTTCCTGGTGCCCTGTTCTATGCTCTTTTCCTTATGACACGTATTCTAATTTCTACTTAATTTTTCACTGTGATTATTTGATTATTATCTTTCTTCCCTAACAAACTGTTAAGATTCACAAGGGCAAGAATTGGATTGGATTTGTAACCATTTGATCCCCAGCCACCAACCACAATGCTTGGTGTATGGTAGCCTCTTGGTCAAATGTCTGTTGAAAGAAAGGTTAAAAAGGATGGAATGAACACATTATATTAATTAATTCCTTCATAACAATAAGCAGGAGTGATTTTATCTATGGGACCAGTATATTTCAAATACCTAAACTACACATTTCTGCATTGTCTCTTTAGCAGAGATGCCTTGATGCTGTTTTGTGTTTTGATTAGTGGAACTGACTTCATTTCTCCGCATATGGCATCATTCTGTGTTTAGATTTGTTATTACCTGTAATCAGATAACCATCAGATCTTGTTGCTTTGCGAGCTCAGACCACTTCATTAGTGGAGGAGGAGGAGAAGAAAGAGAGAGGGGAGAAGGAGTAATTTTCAGAATGAGAAACATTTATAGTCGAACAAAGTATATTTCCTTACTGTTTCATTTTTGGAGGTAACTTGACTTGGTTTATTATACATCCAGGGTTACCATCAGCTACAGTTTGGCTGAAAGAGATCTGATTTTTGCCTGATTAGGCAGGGCCTCAATTAGCGTGTGATGTGTTTTCCATGCCCTTTTGGAGGGAAAATTGTGAGCTGTCGTAACATGGCTCTAAATGGAAAGAGAATGTCAAAACTTCTTATAAAACACTGTAGGATATTTCAATTCTGTTAGCGAGAAAGAGCA